TCCACAGATTAATTAAAAGATTAAGAGTCTTTAATTTACTAATTATGATTATCTAAGATAACACCAGCAAGGACTAGATATGGGGTCTAGATCTATACAGCCCGCTACTTAGCATAGAGCTAAAGCAAGGACTAAATAATCTAGTAAGAAAAGGTTAAGATCGTCATGAAAGCCTAACATGCCAGATATTAAAGATAACTTAAAGAAAAATAACATCTCAAGTATAGTTATACAAGTAATAGCAGCAACCAAGTTATTATAGAGAGATTAGCTTATAGAATTATCAGAATAGATATTAATAATAATAAAAGAGTACTGCAAGTACAGTATTAATAGCTTTAATATAGAGATTAAGATGACTATCCAGAGATTAGAAGATTTATAGGAACTTCTAGCTATGGTTAAGAATAACACACAGATTCTATTATAATATAAAAGATTTAAGAACTTGTTTAAATAGTTAGAGCAACCTGAATTATCTTAGCACAGAAAGCATGACCATACTATTCTTATAAAGAAAGAAAAGTTATTAATATATAAAAAGATTTATCTGATATCTGAAAAGGAATTGCAAATACTATAAGAATATATTAATAATTAATTAGTTAAAAGTAATATCAAGCCTTTGAAGTCACTAGCAGGACATAGAGTCCTATTTATATTAAAAAAGAACAGCAGTTTACAGCTATATATGGATTATTAGTTACTGAATATTATCATAATCAAGAATTAATATCTGTTATCTTTGATTTTGGAAATTTAAGATAAAATACAAGAAATAAAGTAGTTTATTAAACTTAATATCACGGATATATATTATTATATACATATTATGAAAAATAAAGAATGAAAAACTGTATTTAAAATAAAGTATAGATACTTTAAGTACTTGATTATGTTATTTAGGCTTACCAACACATTAGCATCATTTTAGTAATATATCAATAAAATTCTTAGAAAACATCTTGACAGATTTATAATTACTTACTTAGATAATATATTAATCTTCTTAAAGACTGAGAAAGAATATGTGAGATATATAAGACTAGTTTTATATAAACTATATCTATATCAGTTATAATATAAGCTAAAAAAGTATAAATTCTATATATAGAAAATAGAGTTTCTAGAATATTAGATATCTATAGAAAGAATCTATACTAAATAAGCAAAAGTGCAAGCTATACAGGATTAGTCTTAATCTAGAAATCTGAAAGAACTACAGCAGTTTATCAGATTAGTTAATTACTATTAATAATTTATAGACAGATATACCATCTATATAACACTACTTTTCAAGCTTATAAAGAAGTTAAAGAAGTACTAGTAGAAAGAACCACAGCAGAGCGTGTTTAAAGATATTAAGCAGTGACTTATTATATTACTAATACTAATACAGCACGACCTAAAGAAAGAAATAATCATTAAAATCAATATATCAGACTATGCTGTTAGTATGCATATGATGTAATCTAGAAAAGACAAAAAACCAAGACTGATTATATTTTACTCAAGAAAGTTAGTTTAAGCGGAACTTAACTACGACATTCACGACAAGGAATTGCTAATTATAATAATAATATTTAAACAATAGAAAGTCTATCTTAAAAAAGCAAAGTATACTGTTATTATAAAGACAGACCATAAGAACTTAATCTACTTTATAACAACCAAAGAGTTGACCAGAAGGCAGGCATGATAAGCTGAGATTCTGTTACAATATGATTTCAGAATTATATATTATAAGAAAGTAGAGAATAGATACACAGATATACTAAGCTGCAGGCCAGACTATAAATTAGATAAAAAGACTATCAAACTGGCCATCCTGAAGCGGAATATGGATAGGTTAATCATCTATAACAAGGCCAATCTAGCAGCAACATTGGAAATAGATAGTAACCTAATTAAGTGATTGGCTGAAGATATAAAAAATAATAAAATATTCTAGAAAATAAGTAAGGACTTATCAGATAAGATTATTATTAATAAAGATAGACTAGCATACTTTTACAGATTAATTTTTATACTAACTGTAATAAGAACAGAGATTATAGCTAGACATTATGATAAACTACTTAAGGATTATCTAAGAGTGGAAAAGATAACTGAACTAATCACAAGGAATTATTACATTCCAAACCTTAGACAGAAAATATACGATTATATTAAACAATATGAGATTTATATTAAGGACAAGCCTGTAAAGCACTAGCCCTATGGATAAATATAAGTATAGAAGGCGCTATAACAGCTATAAAAATAGATAATAATTAACTTTATTGATTTATTATCAGAATTAGAAAAGTTTAATACTATTACAGTCATTACTAATCGCTTTATTAAATATATCTATCTTATATTAAGTAAGATAATAATAATAATAATACAGATAATAGAACTATTTTTAAAAAACATTGTTATATATCATGGAATACCAAAGTATATTATATCAGATTAAGATAAATTATTTATCTTAAAGTTCTAGAGATTATTTACAGATCTTATAAAAATAGAAGAATAAATAATAACAGCTTATTATCTATAGATAAATAGATAAATAGAAAGGATTAACTAGATAATTAAATAATATCTGAAACATTATATAAACTACCAGCAGAATGATTAGATAAATCTATTACTGATAGCATAGTTCTTATATAATAATACTAATTACTTAATTATTAGAGTATCACTATTTTACATTAATTACAGATATCATCCAAGGTTTCTGGAAATGCCATTAGGGAGGCAGTAAGTCACTAATATAGTTAAGAATATTATTATATTTATAGAAAACATATATCTATAGTTATCTTGAGATATTGAATTCATGAATTTATACAGCAAGATATATTATAATCACAGATATAGAAGAGAACCTGATCTTAAAAAAGGAGAGAAGGTGTTCCTACTTTATAGAAATATCAAGATAAAATAACTAAGTCAGAAGCTTAATCATCATAAGCTAGGACTATTTATTATCAAAGATAAGAAGAGACCGGTTAACTACAAGTTAAGATTATCAAAATCAATAAACAAAATTTACCCAGTGTTTCATATCTCATTATTAGAACCCGCACCAAAGAATGCTAGAATTACAGAAAATATGGAGATTGATAATAATATAAAGGAAGAATATAAAGTCAAAAAAATCCTGGATTACAAGAAGATTAGTGACAGGTCAAAGTATCTGGTAAAATGGGTAGAGTATGATATCTCAGAAAACACGTGGGAACCTATCAAGAATTTGACAAACTATTACCAGATTGTGGAGCAGTACCACTGACAGACAGGTCGAAGTTCGCCCAGAAAGAAGGAGAACCAACTAACTGAGTCAGACTAGGAGTGTCTGACACAGCAGTAAGTTGAGCGGCATTGTGTTCATCAGCCAGACACTCTAGCTCTCAGAGGTCCTCAGCGCTTGGAGAATCCTCATCATCCAGTTATTCTAACACATTCAAGTCGTGATCTAACATCCGATCACCATGATCTTTCAGAAATCTGCGATGTTTTCGCAACCGCTGTATTTTTGTAAATAATAGCTCAATCTGTTCTTCAGTCTCCTCAATCTCTTGAGCTATCTTTTCTTCATCATGTTGAAGCTTATCCCACTTGGAATCACTGTGAAATCATTTTTCATATTTTCAGCCACAACGAGTACAGGCCGCATAATTTCGGTTTTTAGAATCCATGAAACAAGAAAGACTATGAGAATTGCACTAAATACAAGAAAAGTCAACCTGGATACTGTTATAAATGATCTGGTCAGCTTACTGACAGTACTCTTTATAATGATTACACAGAGACATGATGATCCATCTCAAGAAAAAAGGAAACCAAGAAACTCAGCCAACCTGGACGAGGGACATGCACCTTTATGTTCTTAAGAACAAGAACCTTGAAGAAGAGGAGGTGGTGTTACGGACCCCTGCTAGCTGAACAACTAGTAAGGCAGGTATGTCAGGCAGAAGACCACATCCGGACAGAAGGGGGCTCTTATCGAGGAGGATCCTGACCTGAACCATCAGGCAGTATGGATCACGTGACTATGGTATACAGATAAGCATGTAGTATACAACATACCATCATGGTCTATAACTACTAAGTGAGTATACAACAGACCCGATGGTATATAGAATGGTATACGGGGAACAGATATATAAGGACACTTCTTCACGTACTTAGTTAGTTCTGTTCTTCATGCTCAATTCATATTATCTTTAAGTAATCTATGTTTTGGTAGAGCTTAGTGATAATACTTGTCTGTACTTACTTACGAATAGCTGCGCGGCACTATCTGGCCTTACTTCTCTTCTCTTGTTCAGATCAAGTCATCTTTAGATAGTCAACAGCCTGACTACCTTTGATTCAGTTCACAAGGTACGTATCGGAACGGGAGCTAAGCTAACAGGAACAGGGAGAAGCGATCCTAGGGTTTGACACAGCCCAGTTAAAGATGATTTTGTATCCTTTTATAATATAGGATAATGCTGTTTTTATCTGCAAGGACGGGCTGATTGTATGTTTATAAAAAGGTCTTTTAATTATAGTTTCATATCTCTGTAATTGCTTTATATTCTTAGGTGTTTTTAACACTATTGATATGGTGGTGATACTGCTGATTAGAGTAGGCTCACGGAGCTGTATAATCAGTTTACTAAGGACTTTATCTGGCTGGAATGGAATTAATCCTGAAGTCTTAAAGGCGTTGTAAATAGTTGATTTTTTAAAGACAAGAGAATGTGCTTCGGGGTATGTATCCAAGAAATTGTTTTTATTAATATAGTATTCGATGACACAGTTAGCGGGGCGCCGGAAACGGCTCCCATTGCACCGCCTGCCACACCGGGGCCGGTCCCTACCCGATCGAGAAAGGTGCCTGCCCGGTTGGGTATAGTGCCTTGCCGCGCTGCCGCCCGCCGCTTTTACTGACGACAACCCGTGCGTGACGGTCTATATAAGACCCAGGTGCGTCCGTTGACCGACAACGCACTTCCTCTTCCCTTCTTTCCCCCTCCCCTTCCCCCTCCGTCGTCGTCGCCCCCTGTCTCCCGTCGCCTCATCGCCCATCCCGTTCGCCCGACGCACAGCCCCCTTCAGTCGTGCCGTGCGATCCGGCGCTGTTTCTGGCAATGCCTCCACCGTGCGAATTTAAAGCCGACATGGATTTGTGTGAGCCTTGGCCGGGATCACGATCAATCCTCCCTGCTATATTATTATGATCTGTTCATTATCTTCTTACCTACATAGAATGCTTACTGGTTAACTTACTATCTTTATTATTAAAACTAGTATTATTAAATCACTATCCAAGACTGCTCTGGTTTTCTCAGTATGGCTGTCTCACTGCCCTTCCAATCCTCTGTTTTTCTTTTATCTTACTATCCCAGCTCAGCTCGGGTCTCTGAGTTCAAGGAAATAACCCACTTGGCGTGCTGTGCAGCCATTATACTGATATATCTGAAATTTATGTTGATTCTCTACTGGCTGTGGGCTTGACTGTTCTTTATTAATATGACTCTATAATAGTATAATATTATCTATCTCAGCTAACACGGGTAACTAATAGTGAAAATCCTATATTACTTTATCTGAAATTGTTTCAGAACGTGAGACATAGTCTGGCTATAGATAGCTAATAATAAAATTTATATATTCTTATTCTTATTCTGTCTTATCTTAAGATGCGAGGTATAGCCTAATCAGATAACATGTTTGAAAGATATATAGATTAATCTAGACTGGAAATGAATAATTATAAAGAATCATTATTAGTCTTTATACTCTGAATAAGGCAGCTGACCTTAAAAAAGAAAGTAAAGATAGTCAGCCAGGTAAGGGATAGGAAATGAATAATGCTATCTTAGATAAAAGCTAACATGTAATTACATAACCGGAACAGGGTAAAATCAAACATATATAGTAAAGTCTTTATTAAATATAGCTGCCCTTGCGTGGCATGGGCACGGTATTTAATTGAGAAATAAGAAATTTAGCACAGCAGGTTTAGTGTTTACCAGATTTCAAGGACTAACATTATCTAGAGCTTCTATTATCTATAAAAGGACTGATAAATTCCCAGAGAATATAGCTTAAAAGATTACTTACTTCCCAGCCGAGCACAGTCTAAAACCTATCCTTATTTACTTACCACTACGTATTCTTATTCCCTGTTTCTCTGTTCTGTCTATTTTCTAAACCTTACTATTCACTATCCTAGATCAGTATAATATTTAGCTTTCATATTAATAGCTTCAGACCTTGGAAAGTCCCTGCCCTCATCAATATAAGTATATCTATCTTTTAAAGCCTTAAAAGATCCCCTGTCCCTGCTGCTATTAATACTATTCCTATAATCAATATAAGATTGTCAAACCCTAGGATCGCTTCTCCCTGTTCCTGTTAGCTTAGCTCCCGTTCCGATACGTACCTGTGAACTGAATCAAGGTAGTCAGGTCGATGACTATCTAAAGATGACTTGATCTAAATAAGAGAAGAGAAGTAAGGCTAGATAGTGCCGCGCAGCTATCCGTAAGTAAGTGCGGATGAGTGTTGTCGCTAAGCTTTACCAAAACATATAGTTACTTAAAGATAATTTGATTGAGCATGAAGAACAGAACTAGCTAAGTACATGAAAGAGTGTCCTTATATTCTATCCTTTGTCATAGCATCGCCATGATATGTTATATCACTAATATATTATGTCATAGCGCTGTTATGTTCTGTCATAGTACTGCTATGTTCTATCATAGTATTGCCATGTTATAGCGTGTCGGTGACATGTCCGTCGTGGTCATGTGTTGTATAATCGTCCCGGTTTATAGGTTACTCAGATTGGGATTCTACTTAATAAGAGTCCTCGCCTTCCGGACGTAGCCTTCTGTCTAGTAAGTCTGCCTTACTAGTTTATTCAGCTAGCAGGGGTCCGTAACACCACTCCCCCTCTTTCAAGGTTTCTTGTTTCCAAGGAACATAAATTTACAGTGTCTCTCTCCTGAGGTGAGTGTCTGGTGTTAATTCCTAAAACTTTGTTCAGATTGTTAACCATGTTATCTAGTTCTTCTGTTTATAAGAAAAGCCTTTACTAGCAGATTAAGAATAAAGATTTTCTTATGGTTTTCCCTTGCGAGTGCTGTATTCACCTTTACAAGATTTACATCAAATCTGAAAATTCTGATCATTATAATAAGTATATTAAAATAAACAGTGTTTATTATAAAATACCTGATTCTTCCTTCTCTAACACTAAGTGGAAGTGTTTGGTCAAGGCTTAAAATTCCATTAAAAAAAAGAAAGAAGTCATTCTGGCAAAACTTCTTTGATTGTAGAAATAAAAATGATTATTATAAAAGCAAGCTAGCGATTTCATAGCTCGTGATATAAAGAAAATCAAGGAACTAGAAGAGCTTGAAAAGTAAGAATAAAAAAAACGTGAAACACAAGCAAGACTGCGTGATCAGCAAGCTGTAATATCTGAGATTAAGGCTAGTATTATCACAGGTGATGTTAAACTAGCTGCCGCGTCTAAGCTTAATCTTAGTTTATCTTAACTTATTGATTCTCCTTCTTTCTGAGCGAATTTCAACTTGTTTACTGATAATACTATTTTACAAGCTGGTAACAGCCTGTCAAATTCTTGATAAGTTTCCACATGTTTTCTGAGATATCATATTCTACTTATTTTATCAGATACTTTAACCTGCTGCTAATCTTCTTATAGTTTAGGATCTTTTTAACTTTATATTCTTATTCTGTATTATCATCAATTTCCATATTTTTTATAATTTTAATATTCTTTAGTGCGGGTTCCAACAATGAGATATAAAACACTGGATGAATTCTGTTCATTAATTTTAACAATCTCAACTTATAGTTGACCGGCCTCTTCTTATCTTCAATAACAAATAATCCTAGCTTATAATAGTCAAGTTTCTGACTTGATTGTTTTATCTTGATATTTCTATAGAGTAGGAACACTTTCTTCCTTCTTTTTAGATCAGGTTTTTTCTTATGTCTGTAATTGTAGTATATCTTGCTGCGCAAGTTTATGAACTCAATATCTCAGAATAACTGTAAATATATGTTTTCTATGAATATAACAATATTTTTAGCTATATTAATAACTTACTACTTTTTTAATAACATTTTCAGAAACCTTAGGTGATAATCATAATTAGCATAAAATAGTAAGACTCTAATAGTTAAGTAACTGGTATTATTATATAAAAACTATATTATTAGTAATAGATTTATTTAATTATTTTATTAGTAGTTCACATAGTGCCTCAGATATTGCTTAATTATCTGGTTAATCTTTTCTATTTGCCCATTTATCTATGGATAGTAAGCTGTTATTATTTATTTTTTTATTTTTATAAGATCTGCAAGTAATCTCTAGAACTTTAAGATAAATAACTTATCTTAATCTGATATAATATACTTTAATATTTTATAATATATAATAATATTTTCTAGAAACAGTTTTACTATCTGTATTATTATTATTATCATCTTACTTAATACAAGATAAATATATTTAATAAGATAATCAGTAATGACTGTGATACCATTAAACTCTTTTAATTCTGGTAATAGATTAATAAAGTTAATTATTATCTATTTCTATAACTGCTGTGATGCCTTCTGTACTTATATTTATCTATAAGGCTGATATTTTATAAACTTATCTTTAATATAAGTCTTATATTGTCTAACATAATCATGTACTTTTTATCTAAGGTTCAGAATATAGTAATTTCTCACGATTAGTTCAGTTATTTTTTCCATTCTTAAGTAACCCTTGAGTAATCTGTCATAATACCTAACCATAATCTCTGTTCTCATTGTAATTAGTATAAAGATTAACCTGTCAAACCCTAGGATCGCTTCTCCCTGTTCCTGTTAGCTTAGCTCCCGTTCCGATACGTACCTTGTGAACTGAATCAAAGGTAGTCAGGTTGATGACTATCTAAAGATGACTTGATCTTGAACAAGAGAAGAGAAGTAAGGCCAGATAGTGCCGTGCAGTTATCCGTAAGTAAGTGCAGACGAGTGTTGTCACTAAGCTTTACCAAAATGTATGGTTACTTAAAGATAATTAGATTAAGCACGAAGAACAGAACTAGCTAAGTACATGAAAGAGTGTTCTTATATCTTATTCTTTGTATATCATTTCGTATACTATTCAGGGTAGATCAAGGATTGATCTAATCACATTCCTGGATTCTGTATACTATATCATATATTCTTAATAATAGATCTAATGGTAGATGGTCATGTAACACAGTGTTGTCTCAGATATTATCCTAACCGGGATCTTACTTAATAAGAGTTGCTGGCTGCCTGAGTCCTTCTTGTTTGTTATCTTTCTGCCTGACGAGTCTGCTTTTGCTAATAACCTGGCTAGCAGGGGTCTGTAATATCACTCCCCCTTCTTCAAGATTTCTTGTTCTTAAGAAACATAAAGATACGTGTCTCTCCTGTGTTGGTTAAGTTTTCTTAATTTCTCTTTTTCTTATGATAGTCTATCATGTCTCGTCATTGCACTAATCGCGATCAGGTAAAGGAATGTATTCATCAGTCTAACAAGATTTATGATAATGATTTTATTACTGAAAGTTCTTATAAACATTATTTTCTGAGAGATATTTCTTATATTATAGATTTAAAAAGCTGAAATTATGCTGCCTGTACTTGTCATGATTGAAAATATGAAAAATGATTTTACAGTGATAAGGAGTGGAATGAATTAAAACATAATTAATCAGATATGTAAAATGAACTTACTGAGACTCTTGCTGAACAGGCCTGTATTGCTGCCAAAGTGGCTTGCTTGTTTAAGCAATAGCAGTTTCTAAAAGATCATGGCGAGCGGATGTTGGATCATGACTTGACTGTGTTAGAGCGGCTGGATAAGGAGGATCCCCCAAGCACTGAGGATCTTCGAGAGCTAGAGTGTCTGGCTGATAAACACGACGCTGCTCAACTTGCCGCTGCGTCAGACACTCCTAGTCTGACTCAGTTAGTTGGTTCCCCTTCATTCTGGGCGAACTTTGATCTGTCTGTCAGTGGTACTGCTCCACAAGCTGGTAATAACCTGTCAAATTCTCGATAGGTTTCCACGTATTTTCTGAGATATCATATTCTACCTATTTCACCAGGTATTTTGACCTGCCACTAATCTTCTTATAATCTAGGATCTTTTTAACTTTATATTCTGGTTCTGTGTTATTATTAATCTCCATATTTTCTATAATTCTAGTATTCTTTGATACAGGTTCCAGCAATAAGATATAAAATACTGGATATATTCTATTCATCGATTTTGGCAATCTCAACTTGTAGTTAACCAGTCTCTTCTTGTCTTCAATAATAAACAGTCCTAGCTTGTGATAGTCAAGTTTCTGATTTAGTTATTTTATCTTGATGTTTCTGCGGAGTAGAAACATCTTTTTTCTTTTTTAAGATCAGGTTCTTTTTTATATTTATAATCATAGTATATCTTGCTGTATAAGTTCATGAACTCAATATCTCGGGATAACTGTAAATACATATTTCCTGTAAATATA